CCCGAAGGGCAATTTAAAAGAGGATGGAGTAAACTATCCTTAGTGGTGGCAGATGACAGAACAAGGAGCAATGGTCTCAAGTTTCAGCAAGAGAACTCTGGCTTGGATGTTAGGAAAAACTCTCATTAGTAGGGTTGCGAAGCACTGGAACAGATTACCCAGGGAGGTTGTGGAGTCGCCATCCTTACAGGTTTTTAAGGCCCTCCTTTGTGCAGAGGGTTGGACTAGATGACCTCCTGAGGTCCCTTCCAGACTTAATTTTCTATGATTAGCACTGTTAGGTGGGCAAACACCTGCACATGACTCACAAGATAAACCAGGAATTACAAACAGGAATCTTTTTATCAAAAGCATTCTGACCTGTTGGGTCTTTCTGAGTTCTTTTCAACAGAAAAAATTGCTTTATTATTGTCACAGGGCACTAGGGTGTCCTGCTCCTTTTATGGACTGGAACTGCTAGGGGGAAAGCCCTAGCAGTCAGCTGGGTGTCCCAGCTGCTGGTTACCAGGGCAGCCAGAACGAGTTAGTTGGCTCACACCTGCCAGAGGTCAGCTGACCAGAAGGGGCAGGGCCTAGCTCATATATAAACCCCAGGGTTGAGGCCAGGAAGGCAGTTCCCTTCTAGCAGCCAGAGGGGAAAAATCCTTCAGGGAGGAAATGCCCAGTGATGCTGTCACTGCCTGATATGCTGCACCTAGGGCTAAGGGGGTTCTGTCAGCTCTACTGGTACCCTTGCCTACTAGACATTTAGTGCTAGGAATGAAATCTGATTCTCTTAAAGGGTCAGAGCACACATGGATTTTTGTATTATGTTATAGCCCAGGGGCTTATGTTTTGTTTGCTGTTGTATACCACCGGTGGTTTGGGTGAAGCTATTGGGGAAGGAGGAGGTCTCAGTGGGGACCCCAGCGCCAGAGAGGGTGCGGCATTTGGGGTGCACGGACCCCGGCACCAGAGAGGGTGCAGCATTTGGGGTGCATGGACCTCAGCGCCAGAGAGGGCGCGGCATTTGGGGTGCATGGACCCCAGGACCAGAAAGATGCAGCGACAGGGCTGCGGAGAGCCCAGGTGCCAGTGAGGCGCAGCGACAGGGCTGCGGGGAGCCCAAAGACAGCGACAGGGCTGTGGGGAGCCCAAAGAGAGGACAAGGAGGCCAATTACAGTAAGGCCCAGACAGGACAAGGTCGGTGCCATCTGCTAGGCTTGGGGCATGGTAAAGGGGTGGTTGGAGCCATGGATATAGCCCATAAGGCTGGAGTGTCCTGTGATATCTATTTTGGAATGGGACCCACAAGGGGTCCGGGAACCCACGGGGTTCAAGGAAATCCACCAGGACTGTGTCCAATGGGATGTGAAGGCAGTCTCCCTATATCATAAATCCATCAAGACGTGGCGGGCAAGAATAAAGGGTACCCATCGGGCCAAACTGGCATGGTCACGGGGCCTTAGGGGTAACACGGCCATCCTTAAAGACCCCATCCCATTACAATTATTTTTATATAGTCAAAAAAGGCAAATTAAAGCTAAGACATTGCATTTTCCTAAAGGTACTTGGAATATAAAAAGATTGGGAACCACTGACTTAAGGTCTAAAGCAAGTGAGAAATACACTTATTTTCTTCATTAAAACACATAA